CTAATCAAGCCCTTACTCGATATCCTGTACTCCCTGTATTCATAAATCAACTGATTGTAAAATCACTTAACTTGTATCAATTGTTTACTCTGCACCAACTGTTTGATCTATGCAATGATTGATTTTCTTTGTTTAAACGTGTATAAAAACCCCAACCGTCTACTTCTCAGGGCCACCTGTTCTCTTACGCTCAGGGACCCCAACATGTTGGATCATCAATAAACCTTACCCTTTGCTAATTGCATGAGAGAAAGCCTCTTGGAGTCTTTCTTGGGGTGGCGGATGCTTTTCAACTCTAACATAACCTGCTGTACCACAGTGCCAGCCCAAAAGTAAAGTCTTGAAATTAGTCACGCATAGTTGTTCTACGTTAGTATAGGTGATGTGGCCTAACAGGTGGGGCCACCACCTGTGGTGCCGGATCTCATATGGGCACTGGCTCAAGACCTGGCTACTCCACTTCTGATCCAGCTATGGCCTGAGAAAGCGGTATAAGATGGCCCAAATCCTTGGCCCCTGCCCCACATGGAGACCCGAGGAAACCCCTGGCTCCTGGCTTCGGATCGGCTCAGCTCCAGCTGTTGTGGCCAACTGGGGAGTAAACCAGTGGGTGGAGGACCTCTCTCTCTCTCTGCCTCTCCTTCTCTCTGTGTAACTCTGACTTTCAAGTAAAATAAATCTTTAAAAAAAGTTCTGTTCACAGGCATTTGTGTGTGTATGTATATATACAATATATATTTTATATACATATATACATATAAATGTATACCAAAATGGATTATATATAAAAATAAAACATTTGGAAAGGGACTATTTTAAATCAAAGTCATAGTATAATAAATTTGGGTCCTTATTACATAAATATTTGTATGTGGTTTATAATTCTTGATATGTTAAAAAGATTTCAAGGATTTAGAAAGAATAATGTTTAATAATGTGTGATTGATATAATTACTGAAAATTGATGGTAGTAAAGTTAGATATAAATTTCAGATTTTTTTCCAGTGTCATTATTCTGTCTTATTACATTTTATTCGTATTTCCAGATGCAAAAGCAACATTTTGGTATATATCTTTTTATAGCATTAGTTCTCTCTTTTATAAAACCATTTTGGTTAAGTTGATCAGATTTAGGCATTTTGAAAAAAAAAGAATCTTAGAAGGCCTAGGATCTGAAAAGTGAAAATCAGCAATTCAGATCAATAGAGGTTACCTGTGAATACCTCACATAATATCTCAATAAGTTAGAAAATTAGCATCAGGAAAACTCTTCTAAAGATGTTCCTTGGCTAGGTAGTCTAAAGGTCTAAAACTCTTAAACTGAATCATAACTTACATTATTTAGGAGAAAATTATTTTTAAAGGTCACTGGTCTTGGCCAGAGCCGTGGCTCAATAGGCTAATCCTCCACCTTGTGGCGCCAGCACACCGGGTTCTAGTCCCGGTCAGGGTGCCAGATTCTGTCCCGGTTGCCCCTCTGCCAGGCCAGCTCTCTGCTATGGCCCTGGAGTGCAGTGGAGGATGGCCCAAGTCCTTGGGCCCTGCACCCCATGGGAGACCAGGATAAGCACCTGGCTCCTGCCTTTGGATCAGCGCAGTGCGCCAGCCACAGTGCGCCAGCCACAGTGGCCATTAGAGGGTGAACCAATGGCAAAGGAAGATCTTTCTCTCTGTCTCTCTCTCTCACTGTCCACTCTGCCTGTCCAAAAACAAAAAAAGTCACTTGTCTTAAAGCTGTCAATGTCAGAGTCCATGTTGGACTGAATGAAGGGCATCTCTCACTGGTGCTCTTAATAAGGCATAGTTGGTGACACCAGTTTGTTTTTAGCTCCCATCATGGCAGTTTATTAACAGAAAGCCATCTGGTGAGTCAGCAACCACAACTGTCACCTTTCCTGTGGGTGCTGTGTGAGCATCTGGGTGACATCCTCAATCATACCCAAGTGGGCTGACTGGGCCCTAGGTCCAGGGGTCTTGGTTCTGTTCCTCTGTAGCCCAGAGTTTGATGTGTAGGGTAGTGATACCTGACTGGTTGCACCTCTGGGCCACGTTTGGCCAGCCAACATGGAAGTATATGGTGAGGATTTGTCTAGGTCAGCCTTCACCTTTGTCCCACCTGTCACTGGGCAGATGGTTTCCTTGACAAACAGTGACATGGACAAAGGTGTCATTGAAGGATGTGAAGAAGTGACAGATACCAAAGATACTCTCTCTTTCAGAAACCTGGTATCCAGGCTAATGACCTGTTCTTTTCCTTCTCTTTGTGAGGTGTTACTTCTGTGTGTCTTCTTCAGACTCTACCACTGAAATGAGAGGACAAGGCCAAGGCCAAGACACCAGTTTTTACAAAGAGGAGTTCACTTGGGTGGCCAACATAGGAGGTAAGGGGCTCTTGCTCCAAACCACCTGTTTCCTTGTTGCTCAGGGAGGCTTTGCCATAGGCACAGAACAGCAGCTGGGGGAAATTCAGGAGGAGTCTTGGGCTTTCAGGAATGGCCTTGTATGTTTCTTCTGTGCACTGGAAGATTCTCAGGTGATCTGGTCTTGTGATCAGTGATAGCGTATCTTTGCATTGTTACACTTGGACACATCTGTCCTAGGAGATATTTTTGAAAGAAGCAGCAATTGTCCTCTCAAAAAACAATTTGCATGTGGTTGGTGATATATAACAAAGTTGAAGAAATGGGTTTCTTTTTGCTGGCAGGGCAAGGGAAGGAACTCATGAAGAAACCATTTTTTTTTCCTTTTAAAGATTTTATTTATTTGAAAGGTGAAGTTATGGGGTATAGTTGGTGGGGTGGGAGACAGAGATCTTTCTTTGGCTGACTCACTTCCCAAATGGCCACAGTGGTTGGGCTGGGTCAGTCCAAAGCCAGGAGCCAGGAGCTTCTTCCACATCTCCCATGTGGGTGCACGGGCCCAAGTATTTGGGGCATTATGCAGGGAGCTTGATCAGATGTAGAGCAGCCAGGATTTGAACCGGCACCCATATGGGATGCCAGTGCTGCAGTTGGCAGTTTTACCCACTATGCCACAATGCTGGCCTCACCTTTTGTATTTTGGATGAGCCTCTTACAATATTACTTTATTAATTATTTTTTAATTTATTGATTTTTATGAATCTTTTTAGTGTTTTCCTTGTTCCAGAATCTTTTGAGGCTTGTCCAACTGAACCAGAGAGAGACATTCTCTCTCCAACCTGTGAGAGGCCTTTATATAAACAGGTAAATAAAGAGGAAAATATTCCTGGCAATAAGCACTGCGGGTTCTTGAATAAGGGTAAAGGGACAAGTAGCACTGGCTAAAGACATGCCTTTAAGCAGCCACTTCTGCAAATTTAACTGACATGTTGCCATTTATGTAGATTGGGAGAAGAGTAAGCCAGGAAGAACTTTTTTTTTTTTTTTAGATTTACTTATTTTGAAAGAATTCAAGGATCCTAGAGGGTGTTGGGGCAGAGGTTTCTAAAAGGCTGATTGTTAGGTAAGGAGTCTTGAAGGTGGGCTGATGCTGTCATGGAGCTGATTTCTCTTTTCTAGAAGTTCTCATGGAAGATTGTGGCCATAGCTTTTTCTCTTTACAGTACCAAGGTGGATCTTGTCGCTCCCTCATTCGTGGAGGAACGACGCCATCCCGGGTTAGCTGCCGGCCCCTCCACCTCCGTGGAGGGGCGGCACCCCCTGCCGCTTTCCCCGCTTCTGCGGAGGAGCGGCACACCACTGGCCGGCTCTCTCGGGGGCTGCTCAGATGTTGCTCAGATGTTCCTCAGGTGTTCCTTCAGATGTTCCTTCAGATGTTCCTGGTGCATGTTGTCTCTCTCCTCCTTTATAGTCCTCTTCCACCAATCCCAACTCTGCTACCCACATGCTGAGCATGCTGCTCTCCTCCAATCAGGAGCAGGATCAGCTCCTGCAGTTTATTGGTCAAACTGGAGGCAGCTGCGCAGAAGCTGTTTACTCCTCTCCCAGCACCATATTGTGGGAGAGCAGATGCATAGAATAAGTCTTAATTCCAGTAACTTAGTCTAGTCTCAGTTGCTCCCCACAGATCTCAGTCATCTATTTTTGTTTGTTTTAGTTGATGGGCTTTTCTGTTTTGATCTTTGTGATACATATGGATCTTTGTATAACCTTTTTTGTCTGAAGAGATGTTCCTCAGGATTTAACTTAATTAGCAGTTTTGTGACATCTGTTGATCCTTGGGAAATGTCAGATGTACAGATGTTTCCCAAAATTAACCCTACATAGGTAACTTTGAGTAACTTATCCTATGTGAAGCAAGTAGAAAAATAAGTTGTTTTTACCTTTTGAAGCTCTCAAAATTTTCCTCTCTCTGCTTCCCTAATTAAGCTGCAGCTGTCTCCTGCCTCAACCTGATGCCCTGATCCTGTCTCATGCAGTTTTGTTCCTGTACTTTCATTGGTATAGTATTAGAGTCACAAATGCAAATAATGAAATAAAGCCTTCAGATAACCAGAATGACCAAGGAAAAGTGACAACCAAGCCCCAAATTATTGTTTGTTCATGGAATCCTTCTTTGGCAGAGTTTTGAAGTGCTGATACTGACCGACTCTCCTTTTCCCTCTAAGCTCTTTAAAATTCCCTAAAGTCTCATTATTTGCAAGACCATAAAAATAAGATGATACAGATACATTAACAGAAGTTAAATTTCCATCAATAAATTTGTGGAAAATATGCATTTTTTAAAAAAAATTTTATTTAAGTTATACAAATTTCATATATTTCATATATACAGATTTAAGGACATAGTGATACTTCCCTCCTCTACCCTCCCTTTCAATTTGCATTTTTTGAAGAAATTTTTGAAGCCCTCACATATATTATGTCACTTAATATTTAAAAAATTATTCATCTTTGAAATATCAAAGTATTATTCCTTCTTAACTCCTTAGGTGAGTACAACAAAATCTATTTTTTTAAAGATTTATTTATTTTATTTGAAAGGCAGAATTACAGAAGGAGAAGGCGAGAGAGAGATCTTCCATCAACTGGTTCACTCCCCAAATGGCCGCAATAGCAGGAGTTGGGCCAGACCAAATTCATCTTCCTCATCCTTCCCAGGTGAATTAGCAGGAAGCTGGATCAGAAGCAGAGCTGCCTGGAATTGAACTGGTGCCCATATAGGATGCTGGTTTCTCAGGTGGCAGTTTAACCCACCACACTACAGTGCCAGCCCCTACAGTAAAATCTTCTGGTTCGTATTTCATATATGAAATTATAATTTAGCACAATACCAAAATTATACTGTTGAGAGTGAAGTTCATCATACTGAATTTATTTTTAAATAGTTTTAAATGAGTGTGGTTCTTTTTTTAAAAAAAATGTTTATTTTAATATGGTTGAAAGGCAGAATGACAGATTTTCCAACTACTTCTTCAGTCCACGAATGACTGTAACTGCTTCTGCTGGGCCAGGCCAGAGATAGAAGCCTGGAATTCCATCTGGGTTTTGGCAGTGGGTGTCAGGGTCAGGTCACAGACATTTGAGGCAACATCTGCCTCTAAAGGTGCATCAGCACAAACCTATATCAGAAGCAGAGCAGCTAGAACTTTGAGCCAGCATTCCAAAATGGCCCAATTTTGCTTGGACCTCTGCACTGACCTGGGAGACCTGGATGAAACTCCTGGCTCCTGGCTTTAGCCTGGCCTAGCGCCAGGTGTTGCAGCCATTTGGGGAGTGAACCAGCAGATGGAGGACCCCCCCTCTGTCTCTCTCTGTCTCTCCCTCTCTCTCTCTAACTCTGATTTTCAAATAAATAAAAAATAAACCTTAAAAAATTTAAAACCTCTTAATTATAAAAACCCTCCCCACATTAGGTATAGAAGGAATATATATGACAGACCAGGTGTCCCAAATGGTAGCTTTACCTGCGGTGCCATATATTCTTTTAGAGTCAAAAAATATATCTCCCTTTGGCTTCCATTAGATTCCATTCTAATTGCTTCTCAGGCTTTTGGCTAAGATAAGTGTAGATTCCATTCTAGTGATGGGTTATGAATGGCTGACCTGGTAAGGAAATTGATCAGAAAGTTAGGAATAAAATTGCTTGCTGCATGTATTTCATTGAAGTACATAAATAATATGATGTGTGTTAATTTTGAATATTTTATTTATAATAGAAAATAAGGCCTATGAGTACATTAAAAGTAATTATTGGCCAGCGCCGTGGCTCACTAGGCTAATCCTCTGCCTTGCAGCGCCGGCACACTGGGTTCTAGTCCCGGTCGGGGCGCCGGATTCTGTCCCGGTTGCTCCTCTTCCAGGCCAGCCCTCTGCTGTGGCCAGGGAGTGCAGTGGAGGATGGCCCAAGTGCTTGGGCCCTGCACCCCATGGGAGACCAGGATAAGCACCTGGCTCCTGGCTCCTGCCATCGGATCAGCGCGGTGCGCCGGCCGCAGAGCGCCGGCCGCGGCGGCCATTGGAGGGTGAACCAATGGCAAAAGGAAGACCTTTCTCTCTGTCTCTCTCTCACTGTCCACTCTGCCTGTCAAAAAAAAAAAAAGTAATTATTAACATCAATCAGAATATTTGAATTTCAGTCTTAGAATCTGATTATTCATTCTCAATGTTTCTGACAAGTCGCTCTTCATGAATGCAGTGATTCTCAGCTAGGACGGGGTTGCACTACCTCAGGGACATTGAAAGTCTGGGAGGGCGTTTTCAGTTATGGTAGTGTCTGGGGAGCACTCCTGGCACCAAATGCTCATTATTAGTGCTCAAGGCAGTCCTCGCTGCCTGAGTTTCCTTTTGCTGGCCACAGTTCTTCACAGATTCCATGGGAGAATCTGCTTGCTTTTGGGAGTTGCTGGAAGATGCCTGCATTCCTTGACTAGAGGCTTTTTCCACCATCTCATTGTCCTTCTGCAGTCCACTGTTCCTCTGACCACAGCTAGCAAAGCTTCTTCACTTGTAAAGACTTCGTGTACTGAGAATGGTCTCACCTACTTTATCTGGGTTAATTTTCTTACCCTAAGAACTTAGACACAATCGCACTTGCAGTCTGTTTTGCCACATAAGCTAACACATTCACAGGTTCAGGAGATACGGACATCTTTGGGAGGAGGGCTGTTACAGGGTGGTCTAGATATACGAACAGAAAGGTGAGGGGGCAAAATCTGAGGCAACTGTTCCTCATTACTTCCAGGCTGATAAATTTGTGTTAAGTCCAGGGTAGTTACTTTGTACAAGAATTGTCTAAATTTCAACTAGATCTGTATGATGTTGTACATTTGATTTCAAATGGAATCGTTTTGGGGCTGGCTTTGAGGCACAGTGGTTAAGCTACTACTTGCAGTGCCGACATCCCATATTGGAGTGCTGATTTATGTCCCCTCTATAATTCTGGTCCTAGTTTGGAAAATGGCCAAAGTGTTGGACCTATGCCACACATGTGGGAGACCTGGATGGAGTGCCTGGCTTTGGCCTAGCCTAGAACATTCTGTTGTGGCCATCTCTGTTCTATTTTTAATTTTTTTTAAGTTTACTTATTTATTTGAGAGGTAGAATTATTGAGACTAGGTCTTCCATTTGCTGGCTCACTCTCCAGTTGGCCACAATGGCCAGAACTGGGCCAATCCAAAACCAGCAGTCAGGAACTTCTTCCAGGTCTCCCACGCAGGTGCAGGGGCCCAAGTATTCGGCCATCCTCCACTGTTTTCCCAGGCCATTAACAGGGGCCTGGATCTGAAGTGGAGCAGCTGGTACATGAACTAATGCCTATATGGGATTCTGGCGCTGCAGGCCGAGACTTAGCCTTCAGCTTCGTGCTGCTGGACAGCGCCCGCGGAGGCCTGCCCTGGGCCTTCACCACCTGCAGGAGCAGCTACCTGCCCAACACGGTGACTGAGACGCTGCGCGACAGCGGCGCGTGGGGGCTGCTGCTGCGCCGCCTGGGCAACATGCTCATGCACCTGCTGGCTCTCTGCGCTCTCTACCTGCTGGTGGCCCCGAGCTGCGCCTACCAGGTGTGTGGGCCACCTCTGTACGAGCTCTGCGCCCGTCGCCCAGGCCCAGCCCTCCTGCACCATGCGCTTGTGGGACCCAGGCGGGCCCTGCAGCCACGCGATGGGTTCGGAACAGCAGCGGTGGCGAGGCCTGGGCGCCCCTGGGCTCGCCCGCCTGCAGTTCGAGGCGTGGGTGTGTCCCGGGCCTGCCCGGTGACACCTGCGGAGTGTTCCAAGACCACGCGCTCCAGGGCTTCTGCGGGAGTGGACTAAGCGGGAGCCCGGCCACTCCGCCGCCCGGCGGTCACCGCGTCTGAAGGCTCAAGTGTACGCGGAGACCAAGCGCTTCCTCTCCTACCTGGGCGACGGCGAGCGGCTGCGCGCATCTTTCCCACTGAGCTCCCTGCGGCCCAGCCTGGCGGGCGCCCGGAGGCTGCTGGAGGCCATCTTCTTGGGCTGGACGCCGAGGCCCAGGGGTAGCCGCAGGCCGCGGCCCCTGTTCCGGAAGCTGCTTGCGAGACACACGCGGTGCCCCTACGGCTCGCTCCTCTGGACGCACTGCCCGCTGCGGGGGCCGGCCACGCAGGTGCAGTCCCCAAGGCCGGCTGCTGACCCCCAGGAGGACACGGGCTCCCGGCGCCTGGCACCTGGTGCGGCTCCTGCAGCAGCACAGCAGCCCGTGGCAGGTGCACGAGTTCCTGCGGGCCTGTCTCCAGGCACAACAAGCTTCCCTCCCGAGGAATACAAAGAGGTTCATCTCGCTGCGGAAGCACTCCAAACTCTCCCTGCGGGAGCTGACCTGGTAGGTGAGGGTGCAGGACTGCACCTGGCAGTGCGAGAGCCCAGGTGAGCGGGCGTCGGCCAGCTCCAAGCCGGGAGCTGAGGGGGTGGTGGGTAAGGCTGCCCCGCGCCCCCTGGACTGGAAGGTCCCCTGCTGATGGGGTGGGGTGGGGGATGTGATGTCGGGTCATGTGCTGGGCAGGGGAGAGGAGCAAGGTTAGACTTCCTGTGAATGCTGCCCAGGAGGAGGGAATGGGGCTCCTGCCCTGGCTCCCTGGGTGGCTGAGCCAGCGCCCCCATCATGTTTCCCATTTGAGCTCCAGGGGACTGTGGCAGTGTCTCGCCAGCTCAGGCCCCCTCCCCTCCCAGACTGCTCCTGGATAGGTGGGGCTTGAGTCAGATGGCTGCCTCCCTAGGGCCCGATGGGGAGGGCTTGTGGGGGTGGATGCCCTGCCAGGCTCCCCAAGAAACCGGGCCAGTGATGGAGATATGCAGTGACTGCTCTGTCCTTGTGTCGTGGAAATGCCCCCACAGCGGGAGGTGTGACATCGGCCCCAGGCACCCCCAGCACTGCTCTGTGCACCCACCCAGACATTGTGTGCTCAGGCAGTGGCCACTCTACCGCCTTCGCGGAGGGAGCAGAGATGCTGGGGTTGGGGATCTGCCTCCTGCCAGGCCAGCTGGCCGCCTGCTGCACGGGGCAGGATGAGCCGGCTTTCCCAGTGTGGGCTGTGCACGGGAGAGGTGG